CCCAGGCCGGTCTCGAACCCCTGGGCTCGGGCAATCCTCTCGCCTCGGCCTTCTGAAGTGCCGGGATGACAGGCTGGAGCCACCGCGCCCGGCCGTTTAATACAATTTTAAATCCTTATCCTCCACAAATAGGCTCACACCAAGAGGCTTCAGACTCCCTCTATGTGTATTTTCTCGGTTTCCAAGTCACAAGACAACACTCTCCTCGTAAATTCCTTTAGTCCTCCATCCTAATCCCATACCGTCATGAAGCTGGAAATGATTTGCACTTTACTCACAAGTTTCCTTTGGTTTGGGTTGCTGTCCTTCTCCCGGATTTGAGGGCCTGACCTGTCCCTCTGCATCATGATGAGCTGTCCTGCGAGGTTTAACATGATGCTTTCTGCGTCGCGAGCCTGAAATTGAAGAAAATGAGACTGTATTCATACGAATGGACTAGTGTGTTTTGGCATTTCCCCCATTCCCTAGGGAGGGAACTTGCTATGAGGCTGGGCGCAGTGGCTCACATCTATAATTCCAGCAATTTGGGAGGCCAAGGAGAGGATTGCCTGAGCCCACGGGTTCAACACCAGCCCAGGCAACATGGCAAGACCTCATCTCTACAATAAATCAAAAAATTAGCCGGGCATGGTAGCACATGCCTGTAGTTCCAGATACTCGGAAGGCTGAGGCGGAAGGATCCCCAGAGCCCAGCAGGTCGAGGCTGCGGTGGCCGGGAGCGTGCCACTGCACTCCAGTCTGAGTGACAGAGTGAGACTCAACTCAAAAAAAAAAAACAACAAAAAACCCCCAAAACAACAAAAAAACCAAAACCAGCTACAGTATTTGAGGTTGTACTATGTACAAGCCATTCTCTAGTCTCAGTGGGAACACAAGTAGTTTTCTGGCTGGGTGGCATAAGAACTAACACATAATACAATTAGTGAACAATGCCAGTGACATAAACTTGAGGGCAGAGCTGAATTATCCTGGGGAAACTAAGAGAGCTTCGCAGTGCATGAAAATGAGTGTCACCTCAGTGACCTGGCTGGCAGGAGAAAGTTTAAGAGGAGGAGGTGAAATCCAAGACGGGGAAATGTACACGGGAGGTGCTGTGGTGCAAACATGCCACAGGAATAAAGATGTGGAGGTAGCTTAGGACAGTTTTGTTGGAAGCGTGGGAACAATCTGACTGGAGGGGGGGACCTCACAAGAACAGAGGATGGTGGCAGGCCTTCCAGAAGGACACGGAGGCCAGTAAAAGCAGGAAATGAGCCACAACTTACGGTTTTCAAATAAGACAGTTATTAAAAACCAGAGTTAATCAGGATAAATTACTGGGGAGAGGCAGACTTTATGGATGCTGACATCAGGAAAGAGAAACTGCCTGCCCACCTACCTACCGCCTTTTTTTTTTTTTTTTTTGAGACAGAGTCTCAATCTGTTGCCTAGACTGGAGGCTGGAGTGCAGGGAGTAATCAGCTCACTGCAGCTGTGAACCCCTGGGCAGGCGATCCTCCCACCTTAGCCTCCCGAATAGCTGGGACTAAAGGTGTGTGCTACCACCTTTAATTTTCACTGTCTACCAGGTGAGAACTGGTGGTTAATTTTTAACCTTTTTTGTGGAGATAGGATCTAACTATGTTGCTCAGGCTGGTCTCAAACTCCTGGGCCCAAGCAAACCTCCTGCCTGATTCAGTCGGAAATAACCGTTTGAAAAATTAACAGCCCCAATTGTTTAATTAAATATAAGTATTTCCTTTTTGTAACAGATCCTCCATTTTAGCTGTTTTAACCCAGAGATGACCCCCTACATAATCTTTCCATAATCATAGGTTGTAACCTTTCTGTAAATGGGGACCTACACCCTTGTTTTTCCAAAACATTGGCAACTCCCCAACCACAAGCACTGCATTTATTTGTATACGTTTGCACATTTTGCTCTTCTCTTAATTTTGATGTTCCTTATATGCTTGTACCCCATGCTATGCAGCCTGCTTGTGGTTTTTGCCTTTATAAATCCTCTCTCCCTGCGTCATTCAGGGTCAAGAGTTCTTTGAACATTCGAGTTCGCTCTCGACCACCAGTTACTAAAGGAATCAAAATCTGACTCTCAGCATGTTGGCGGTGTCTTCCTCACGCTCTGGTCACAAGAAGTCATTGCTTGCAGCTTTTTTCCTGGAAGTTTTAAGATTTTTTCAAATTACATGGGGAGAAACCTCAGGTTTCTCTCTACTTAACTTCTCTAACGTCTACATCAACTTCTCAACATTGCCTGAGCTTTTAAAGGCAAGAAAAACAGAAGCACAATGCCATGTAAGTCGGAGAAGGAAAGAATTTCAGGAAGGAACGAACAACTATTCACAAGTTACAGGATAGGGTTCCAGGCTTGATGCTTGCTGACTGGATGGATTTAAGCTGCCTTATTCAGATTCCATCAAGTAAACAGTGACCACCATATGTATTTCACCATATGCAAAATACTCAGTTACACAATGCTCTTGGTTACTGCTTTCAACTTCTACAAGGGAATGTGTATAAAGACGTGAAAAAACTAAAAATTTAGATATTAGTTCATAACACATGAAAACAGCCAATTACCTGGAGCTAGAAGAAAGAAAAATGGAATTTAAAAGGTGTGAGGGAACCATAAGGGGAAGGCAGCTAGAAGGCAGCCAAAAGGCAGGGGGGAAAGAAAAGCACACAAAATGAATCAAACCAGTGTAACTGAGGACTGGTGTCAAAAGACCTAAGAGCATTTACTGCAATTTATCACAGCATGACTAAAGCTCGGAGTGACTGACCACCGTAAGTTTTAAGCTTTCACCACTACATTTTGCACTATTTCATTAAAACAGAAGGCTTCTTTTTCCTTCACTGAGTGCAGCTTATTAGTGTCCACTCATTTTCTGTCGATGACACTACAGATGACTGCACTAGCACTCTCAGGCAACTTTAACGAAGTCTTCAGAAAAAATAAGGGCAACACCTGCATGCTCAAAATCCTAAATCTGAAGGAACTGAAAACGCCATCTCTTACACCAAAAAAAAAAAAAAAAAATCACTGGAAGATGATTTTCTGTGGGAGTTTCAGGAACAAACAGCTTACTCTCTCAGAGAGAGGCTACCTCACTGGCGAACAGTTCTCATTGTTACTACTATTTTAAAAACCCTTTCATGTTAAATCAAGACTTGGCCAGGCATAGTGGCTCAGCCTGTCATTCCAGCACTTTGGGAGGCAGAGGCGAGAGGACTGCCTGAGCCCTGGGGCTTGAGACCAGCCTGGGCAATTTGGTGAGACCTCGTCCCAACAATAAATCAAAAAATTAGCTGGGCATGGTGGTGTGTGCCTATAGTTCTGGCTACTTGGAAGGATCGCCTGAGCCCAGCAGGTCGACGCTATGGTGGCCATGAGCAATGTGCCACTGCACCCCAGCCTGGGAGACAGAGTGAGACTCCAACTCAAAAAAGAAAAATTGTATCAAGGCTTATTTTGCTGTGGCTTCTTGGTCTTCTCTCTGTGAAAGGCCCTCTCAAAGTGGAGTACTCAGTACTGCTGATGCCACTGACTGTCTACTGTAGTTGGAATATACCAAGAGTCTCCTTTTTTTCTATGAAAACTTGAAACATGATCAAAAGTATGGCAAATACTACGATGAACCCTTATAGTCCCATTATCCAGATTCACAGTTATCGAGGTTTTTGTCATATTTGCTCCATCCAGCACTTGTTTCTTTTTTCAGTTTTGCCGAAGTATTTTAGAGCAAGATATCCTGTCAATTTTGCCTCTACATGTTTAATACACACTCCTAAAACATAAGGACATTTGCTTATATAACCACAATGCTAGTTATCACATCTAATACAATTTGCAATTAGTTCTTGGTGTTATGTCTTAACTTGTATTTAAATACCCCTAATTGCTTTGGCAGTATCTTTTTATAGCTAGCTTGAATGAGGACACACAAGAGCTTATGACTTGATTCTGTAGTGTAGTGATGATCACATCTGCCTCACAAATGAGCTCACCCGTTGCATCTGGTTGTTGTTAGGACTCTGAAGTCTTATTTAATCTGGAAGAGTCTCTCCTCCCTCCCTCCTCTCATTACTGACTTGCAGCTACCCTACAGGATACCATGCATTCTGCCTTTTTGTGGTATAAATCAGACTACACCTCCTCTGCCTCCGTATTTCCTTTGAATGGAAGAGGCCTCTAGATGCTCGACTTGATTCAGAGTCATCGATGATTTTGACAAAGAAAGGAGACCAAGATGGTAAACCATCTAGAACAAATATCACATGAGGTAGCTGGAGATATGGGATGAGAAAATACACAGAAAGGTGTGCAGAGAGAAGTCAACTATCTGTAAATATTTTAAGGGTTATTGTGGGGAACAGGGACTATCTTTTATTTCTTGCTTTTCTTGTTCCAAAGAGGAGAAAACTGGGATAGACTGTCATAAATCAGATTTTGGGTATATAAAAACAACAGCTTGCAATAATTACAACTGCACTGGAAAAAGCACTCATAGTGGTTTTTATTTTTATTTTTTTAGTTTGTTTTATTTTAAAGATGTGGTGTACAATTCAGGATTAGGTATACCAAACTTTGGTCCCCACTTTGTCTGGTTTGAGGTCAGCCACACTTACTAATGTTATGTGCCCCCCACCTGTGCCCGCCACTCCCAACCCCTCGCAGTTTCCAGCTACTGCCAATCCCTTTCTTATAGTATTATGGTAAATGTTCAGGGTCCACTTATGAGTAAGAACATATGGTACTTAGTTCCTTGTTTCTGTGATAAATCACTGAGTACTAGACTCTAAATCCATCCAAGTTGCTGTGAAGTCCATAATTCTGTTCTTCTTTATGGTTGTGTAATATTCCATTGTATATATGTACCAAATTTTTAAAAATTCAGTCCAGTTTCAATAGGCAGCACAGTTGGTTTCATGTTTTTGCTAATGTGAATAGTGCTGCAATAAACATGCATGTACAGATATCTTTTCTACAGAATGATTTGAGTTCCTCCAGGTATATTCCCCGAAAGGGAATTGCTGGATCCCATGGAAGGTTAATTTCTAGTTCTTTTAGGAATCACCACACTGTCTTCCATAGAGGGTGAACTAGTTTGCACTCCCACCAACAGTGTAGAAGTGTTCCCTTTTCTCTGCATCCTTGCCAGCATCTCATTTTATTAATGATGGCCATTCTTAATGGGGTTAGGTGGGTATCTCAATGTGGTTTTGATTTGCATTTCCCTGATGATAAGTGAGGCTGGGTATTTTTTCATGTGTCTGTTGGCTGCTCATATGTCTTTTGAGAAGTGTCTATTCATGTCTTTTGCCCATTTTTTAAATGGGGCAGTTTGATTTTTTTTCCTTTTGGCACAATTGAGTTCTTTATAGATCCTGGCTGTTAGGTCTTTGTCAGATATGCGGTTGACAAATATTGTTTTACAGTCGGTGGGCTGTCTCCCCACTCTCTTAATGGTTTCTCTTGCTTTGCAGAAGCTTTCTAGTTTAATGAGGTCCCACTTGTTTATTTTATCTCTTATGGCATGGGCTTTTAAGGTCTTGATTAGGAATTGGTTGCCTATTCCAATTTCCATAAGTATCTCCTGCATTTTCTAAGATTCTTAAAGTTTGGGGTTTTACATGTAGGTCTTTGATCCATTTAGAGTTGATTTTTGTGTATGGTGATAGGTAGGGGTCCTGTTTCATTCTTCTGCACGTGGTCAGTCAGTTTTCCCAGCACCATTTACTGAAGAGGTTCTCCTCTCCCCAGTGGTTGTTGCTGGAGGCTTTGTCGAAGATGAGTTGGTTGAGCAATTGAGGCTCTGTTTCCAGAATCGCTATCCTGTTCCATTGGTCTACACGCCTATCCTTGTACCAATACCAGGCTGTTTTGATTATTGTAGCCTTGTAGTAAAGTTCAAAGTCTGGAAGTGTGATATCTCCCACTTTTTCTTTTGCTAAGGCTTATTTTGGCTATTCGTGGTCATTTATGTTTCCAAATGAATTTCTGCATGTTGTTGGTAATTTAATGGGTATAACGTTGAATTGGTAGATTGCCTTTGGTAGGATGGACATCTTTCCAATCTATGAGTACAGACTATTTTTCCATTTGTTTGCATCATCTTTGACATTTTGGGGCACTATTTTGTAGCTTCCATTGTAAAGATCTTTTACTTCTCTGGTTAGGAAGATGTCGAGGTATTTCTTTTTTTTGGGTGGCTATTGTGAATGGAATTGTGCTTTCTATTTGGCTCTCTGTCTATCTGTTGTTGGTGTATAAGAAGGTGACTGTCTTTTGCATGTTTATTTTGTGCCCTGAGACTGCCAAAGTCCTTTATCAGTGCAAGGCTTCTGACAGAAGCTTTTGGATTTCCGAGGCACAGGATCATGTCGTCAGCAAAGAGGAATAACTTGACTTCTTCTTTTCCTATTTGGATATCCCTGATTTCCTTCTCTTGTCTGATTGCTCTGGCTAGGACTTTCAACACCATGTTGAACAGGAGGGGTGAGAGTGGGCAGTCTTGTTTTGTTTCGGTTTTGAGGGGAAATGCTTCCAATTTCTGTTTAGCAATATGTTGGCCATGGGTTTATCATAGATGGCTCTTACTACTTTGAGGTATGTTCTTATGAATTAAATTCCACATAACTGGATAGTCTAGTGCAGTGGTCCCCAACCTTTTTGGTATCAGGGACCAATTTTGTAGAAGATAATTTTTCCACACTCCAGGTGTGGGAGGGGGTGGTTTTGGGATGATTCCAGTGCACTGCCTTTATTGTGCACTTTATTTTTATTATGGCATTGTCATATATGATGAGATATACAGCATCGCCACCTCAGACCATGAGGCATTAGATTCTCATAAGGTGTGCACAACTTAGATCCCTTGCACATGCCGTTCACAATGGGGTACGCTCATACGAGGACCCAATGCCGTGGCAGATCTGACAGAAGGCCGAGGTCAGTGGTAACTAGTGAGCAATGGGGAGTGGCTGTAAATGCAGACGAGGCTGTGCTGGCTTGCCCGCTGCTCTCCTCCTGCCGTGTGGCCCGGCTCCTAACAGGCCACAGACAGGCACCATTCCGTGGCCCCAGGGCTGGGGACTCATGATCTAGTGTATTGTTTTTTAACTATTTTATGGAGTGCTGGGGTTTGATGGATGTGCCCCCAGTGAGAAGTTTTTTTTTTTTGGTGAGTTGGAGTCTCACTCTGTCGCCCAGACTGGAGTGCAGTGGCCGCTCCCGGCCACCGCAGCCTCGACCTGCTGGGCTCCGGTGATCCTTCCGCCTCAGCCTTCCAAGTAGCCGGAATTACAGGCATGCGCTACCACACCCGGCTGATTTTTTGATTTATTGTAGAGATGAGGTCTCGCTGCCCAGGCGGGTCTCGAACCCGCGGCTCACGCAATCCACTCACCTCAGCCTCCCAAAGGCGCGGGATTACAGGCTGAGCCACCGGAGCCCGGCTCCCAGTGAGAAGTAAAAGACAGACTGAGCAGACAAGGATGACAAATCTACACGGAATTATCCCATGTCAATAGGTCCCCAGCTGGCACGAAGTTTAGAAGTCAAGAGCATATAATGAAAGAAACCCTGAAATAGAAAGTGATGTGACCTGGGTCCTGGTGGTGCTACTACACATCCTGTTGCTTTACCCTGAAACTACACTTTCTCTTCTCTTATCATTAGTTCATCATGAGGTCTTCTGTGTTCTATGTTCATTCGACTTACTTCCATCTTCTTTGTCAAGCCAAACTCAGGCCACCAACACCGCTCCCCTGGACCATGACAATGACCTTCCAGTTGATCTCCCTATATACAGCTTCGTCCAGCTCCAGTTCGTTTTCTTTCTTGTAGTGACAGAAGTATTAGAAAGCTTCGGTCTAACAGCACTACCCTTCAGACTTGAAGTTAGTCTAAAATTGTCAATACCACTTCCGAAGCTCTTATCCTCTCCCACTTGCCACGCTCTAGTAACTCTGAAGTTTTTCCAGTTCCCTGAGTGTGTCACCGTGCTCTCTCCTATGACATTTTACTAATTTAATTACCCTGCAGCTTAGATAACCTCTGCTCGTTCTCAAGAGTTAAATAGCACAGAAATCTTTGCTGATTATTTAGACTACACTAGGTTGTTGTTATATGCTCTCGCAGTAACCTATAATACTTTCTGGTGCACATATGACAAGAATGACTCATTATGTATGCAATTATTTGTTGAATGCCAGAGCAGAAACCAAGTCCTATTTAGTTTACCACTGCAACCCAGCATCTTCACACAAGGTACATTCTAGACACTTGTAATTCATTTGCACAAATAAATAGCTCCTAATATCAACTTATAATACTAAACACTGAGATGTAAGCTCCAAATAGATAATGGAATGGTACCTGTTGTGGCATTTTCAAGGTGATTCCATTCTCTGTACTCACTGACGTCAGAGTGACAGACACTACCAGGAATGGGTGAGGAATGTAGCGTGACATGGAGACCTCCTGAAGAACCTGAATACCAGCAGTAGTGTTTGGACTGTAAAAACAAAAGAAACCCACATACCTCAACAACAATGGCGGGAAGATTTTTTTCCTCTCCACTACCAAAAGTATTACATCTCATGTTTATGGAAAAGCCAAACATCTCTACCTCTCATTCTTGCCTCCCCAAATATCCTTAAATCAGGAGACAGGCAAGGCTGAGGGGATCCAAAGAGCACATATGGGGATGAGAGGGGAAAAAAGGAAGTAAGACATAGGAGGGAAGAAAAGAACTAGGTAAGAAGCTGTAAGAAGAAACCCTTAAGGGGAAAAAACTCGCGGGCTGAGAAAGGATGAGGGCTCAGCCACTGAGGCCAGGAAGCTGCCTTAATGTTTATCTTTGCATTGCTCCTGAATCACGTGCTATTTCAGCAACTACATACTAACAGCTGGCTAAACAAAGAACCTCTGAGAACAAAATAAAACGCAAGAGGCATGGTCTAAGGCTGCTGCCAGCTGACCGGCATCCAAGAAAAACACACAGCAGCATGTAGTAGCAACAGGACTGCTGGCGTTTCCTGCTGCAGATCTTCACCAACAGCTCAACGGAAACGCATGGATGTGCTTCCTAAGGTGTGAACGCTGTAGAATGCCTTCACATTTCCCGAGTGTATGGAATACCAGGACAGTCAGTAACCACTTATTTTTCAAGGTTCTGAAAAAAATTTAGTACCAAAGGGGTTACCTTATCCCAAACTTTTTTTTTTTTCCAAATGAATCCAGGAAGATTAGCAAATAAAGTTAGTGAAGGCTACTTATTTTCTTTTTTCTTAGCTATTATGCCAATATCACTAACTTAAACTCCTTGCTTTTTTCACTTCTGAAAAAAGGAAACTAGGTATAAAAGTGGAATAACCGCTTTGAGAAAAAAACCACAGAGGAAGAACACGATAAACAGGAGCAAAAAGTGGTTTTTCGTATGCTATATACTCACCCATCCGATTTTCTTTCAATACTGTAAAGGCATATTGAACAGTCTGCTCTGAATACTATTACCATGTCCCGGAAGACACTAAGCAATAATGTTTCTGCTTGTGCTTTGGTGACGTGAGCAAAGGCATTGTCTAGATTTGACGTTCGCAAGTATACTCTGAGCTGAAGAAAACAAAATCATAAAAACAAGATGACTGCCAGGGATAATGAAATACTTCAAACATGCTGTTTGTTATCTATTGACTTTTTTTCAAGTAATAAGAAGAATTAAAAGGCAACTTATATAAGCTTTAACAATAAACGGATTATGTTCATATTTTGACAAGCTACACTCATTCTACAAGTAACCAAAAAATAAAGGGATCAAAACTGTAAATGCACTATTATGAGATATTTCTTTTAGACTTGCATATTTAGACCTGATATGAGATCAGCAGTTTCTCAAAACAAACAAAAACACAGGTAAAATGGTCCCCTTTATCCATTGTTTTGCTTTCCATAGTTTCGGTTATCTGTGGTCAACCACAGTCTTAAAATAAGTGAGTATAGTGTAATAATGTATTTTGAGAGAAAAAAACACTAACTCACATAACTCTTATTACAGTCTGTTCCAACTGTTCTATTTTATATTAGTTACTATTAATTTCTTACTATGCTTAATTTATACATTAAACTTTATCACAGAGATGTACACAGAGGACAAAACATAGTATATGATACTCATTTTTTTTGTTGTTCTTTTTTGGGGTTTTTTTTTAGTAGGAGTCTCACTCTGCTGCCCGGGCTGAAGTGCAGTGGTATGCTCATGGCTACTGCAGCCTCGACCTATTGGGCTTGGGTGATCCTTCTGCCTCGGCCTTTCAGGTAGCTAGAACCACAGGCATGTGCCACCATGCCTGGCTAATTTTTAAATTTATTGTAGAGAAGAGGTCTCGCCAAGTTGCCCAGGCTGGTTTCAAATCCCTGGACTCAGGCAATCCTCTTGCCTCCACCTCCCAAAGTGTGGGATTATAGGCGTGAGCCACTGTGCTGGGTCAACAACCACTGTTATAAAACATTTTTGCAGTCGGGCTCGGTGGCTTAGCCTGTAATCCTGCGCCTGTAGGAGGCTGAGGTGAGTGGATTGCCTGAGCCCGCGGGTTCAAGATCCGCCTGGGAAGCGAGACCTCATCTCTACAATAAATCAAAAAATTAGCCAGGCGTGGTAGCGCGCGCCTGTAATTCTGGCTACTTGGAAAGCTGAGGAGGAAGGATCGCCAGAGCCCAGCAGGTCGAGGCTGCGGTGGCCAGAAGCGGCCACTGCACTCCAGTCTGGGCGATAGAGTGAGACTCCAACTCAAAAGAAAAAATAAGTAAATAAAACTTTTTTGCTCGTAACTGTTTATTTTCAGATTTCAGAGAGAATGTCTAATAGCTAAAATTCTTAGAAAAGGTTATCTTAGAAGTTCCAATTACTACTATAAAAATTTTAAAGAGTAATAACCTGAAAAGAAAATTCTATTAGCTAAAATGCTAAATTATTTATTTAAAAAAATTTTCTGCTCAGTTTTCAATAGACTATTTGCTATATAATGTTAAGAAGTGCTTAATAGCTTTAAAATATAAGTATTATTATTGCTAAGAAAAAAACTTACCTCTTCTTGATGGTCATTTATGTTGTAACATGCAAGGACCATAAAATCATTCCACCAGGCTAAGCCACCTGTCACAATCATATTTTGCTCCTTAAAAGAAAATTTAAAAATACATTTACCTTAATTATGTTACCAGAAATTATAAGAAAATAATACATTTATAAAATATTCTCAGGCAGACAATGAAAACCCAGATTATTTCTTCTCTACCTCTCTCCCTCTAGTTATTACTCTAGGGCTTTATTAATGATGCATGTCTTATTTTTAAAATAAATATTTTTATAAGGAAGCAAATATATCACTCAAAATAACTGAGTACTATATTGCACCATCATTCCCACATTCTAGTTTAATTATTTATCAGATTAGTGACTCTGATTCTAAGTTGTTGTTTTTTTTTTTATAATCAAGTGGTAAATAACAATAGTGCCCTCACTGGATTATTATGAAGATGAATGAAATAACATGCATGAAAGTACCTTAAAGTGTCTGGTACAAAATAGGGATTAATTTCCTTTTCTTCCAACTGAATGTACACATATAAGTTTATCTTTATATTTACACACACACTATCCAACATATATATCACACAGACAAGCAAGAAATGATCTCAAATTCTGTGGAAATTTAACCACGCCCCCACACAAACACATTCACACCCCAACATACCACACACAAGCAGGGAATGAGCTCAGACTTTGTGGAAATTCATGCACATACAGACACACACACACATCCCATATATAAGAGGGATCCCCCCAAAATAAGAATTGTTTTTCTGGAGGGCAGAACCCTCATAGTACATACTTCCCTTGCAAAATAAGTGTTTTAGAAACCCATTGGCATCAGTGTACCAGCTAGTGTTGTTGCAAGAGGCTGTGTTAGGTGTCAGTGAATTTTTTTTTTTGGAGATTCTTTCAATGCATCTGCCCATTTTAAGACGGGTGATTTACAAGTGCACCTGCCTGCCCACACTACACCGAGTGTTTAGTACTTTTTGACCAAAAACAGCATGACCACCATGCCACGCCCAGTCACCTGACCTTGTCCTGAGAGACTTTTTTTTTGGTTTCAGTGAATGAAAAAAGTCCTCAAAGGGAATCGTTTTGCCAATGTGGAAGAGGTGAAACAAAAAATGGCAGAAGTACTAAACAGCGTCAAAACTGTTGAGTTCAAAAACTGTTGTAAGCAGTGAAATATATGTCTTGATAGATGTGCTGCAAACAGAGAGTACTTTCAAGGTGGCTGAAGTTTACACATGTTAGACTAAATTCACAATTTTTTATAAATGAATTCTGGTTTTTTGGGGCTCCTCCTTCATCTATCACATATATAAGCAAGGAATGATCTCAAATTTTGTGGAAACTTATTCCGATCATGTCTGATGAACTCAAGCTGGAATGGAAGAATAATAAACCCTCAAGCTAAAGAATTCTAGCTACTGATCTTAACAAGAATTAAAAACAAACCAACAATTTCAACACAAGATCCTTTACCTAATATCAGGTACTTTATTAAAAAATTGACTGTTATACATTATCCGGTATCACTTTTTGATATCTGATTTGATTTTTATAAGTAACCAATGGTTTACTTTTATAGTTATTTCATATTGCAGTCTGCTCATACTTTGAAAAATAGGTTAATTTCAAAAAGACTAACCTGGGTAATGTTTCCAAAAAGTTTCCATTTTTTGGTGAGTAAAGAGTAATGTGCAAAACCAAACTTGCCAACCACAGCAATATTCTGTCCCAGCTTATCAATAGCTGAAAACTGTTAAAAAAAATTAAGAACTCTTACTTGCAAACTTACAGACTTACTAGGTATAAAAAGAGCTTAGTATTACATCAGACAATTAGACTGTTAATAAACGTTTGCTAAGTGAATTAAAGATAAAATACTAAATTAAAAATCTAGGTATTTATAGTTATAGTTCACAAAATTATAGATGTTAGTATACCAGCAATGTGCATGGATCAAGTATTAAAATTTTACTCTTATCAATATACCCACTGAAAGGCTCTTCCCAGAATGCGTCTTGCAGTACATTCTATCCAATGAAAGTTAATACCAACAACACAACTCACCCGTATAGGCCAATTGCTCTCTAGATACGTACTGGAAATCTATAGAAAATAACATATCAGTTTGGTAAGACTTGCGAAACATATTTAAACTTAAAGCATTAACTTGTCATGATGTAAGTTTCACCTTTCTGTACAATATTCAAGTTGTCCCCAAATAGTGGGCATTAGGAGAGGAGTTTACCATTCATAAATGGGCCAATGCGTCACATCTCGTATCTGAACCACGACAAGTTTCTCGACAGGTTTTCCTTTTCCTGCCCCCCACAATGTTTTTGCTTGTGTGTTTTAAATACCGAACTCAATAAATACACACTGAGAGGAGATTTTTAGAGAAGCATGAGGGCAGCCATAAACTATGCTGATGAACAGTTTGGGTTTGCTGTTGTGAACCCTCCCAAAACAACCTGATCTAATAAATTTATAGCCCAAGCAAAAGTTTTGTTTAGTCCAAGCAAAAGTTCTGTTTCTTTAAAAATGGAAACATTTTCACTGCTTAATATTTATCTAATTTAAAAAGCAATGCTTATAAAATTAGACAAAATAAAAATGTACAAAGTACAAAATGAGATTCTTGTTGCTCAAGGACAACTACTGGTTAGCTTTTATTGCATGTCTAAACAAACACGCATAAACATGCAAGAGTGTGTGTGAGCTACTGCTTTTCTACTGGGGTGTTCAACTTACTTAGCTACAAGAATTCTTAATATATTACAGACATTAACTATTTATCTGCAGCATAAGCGGTAAATATACTTTCCCATTTGTCTGCCTTACATCTCTACATGGTGCCCTTGTTTCACCCCAACAAAATCCTTAAATTTAAATAGTCCTCTATGGCATATCGACATAGATTTCATAAATTCTAGCTTTATGGAGACTTATCTCTCTAGCTTGCTGATTTGTTTTCATGAGCACATGGTAGGAGTGGGGTGAGAATTAACAGAATAACCAAAGAAAGAGTCTTCTGTTCCTGGTAAGAAAAGCTTCAATTTATTCAAATTTATTTTCATTTTGAGAAAAGTTGCCACATAAAAAAAGAAAGTCAAATGAAAAAGCCAACTAAATTGCAATCAGATACAGTAAGATAGTTTGTTTAAAGACAAAACATAAATTAAGTAAGGCAATATGCTGAATCATCTTTACTAACCTTGTTAGAATTTATTTTTTTTTAATAATTTTTTACTTCACTTTGTTGTTATACTTCACTTATTATCTATTATCAAGTAAGTCAATGTAATATCTGAAATAAATCAATGAACCAATAGCTTTTAGTACGTCAGGAAGTTCTTAACTCTAACACTCTAAGGTGAAAAACCACCTTATACAACTAGAGAACAGCGTCATGATATATGCCTGAAGAATGTTTAACCAGGACGACTGAATCTCAACAGATATGCTGTACTGTTCAGGCCAATCAATAAAATTTACTATGATGGGTAAAATTAGTTAATTAATGGAGACTTGAGGCAGGGAGTGGCTGGCAAAATAAAGGTTGAATGGAGTTTTCTAGGAAGCTTTCAGAGAAAATTCTTTTTGTTGGATTAAGAAAAATAGTCACTTGAAGAAGGATGTACCTGTGCTAGCCACCCATGACCTCAAAGGAATCCTCACCTCCCTGGAATCCTGGGGTTTCATTAGTGCTTACAAAGCATGTGGGTGGTTAATGTGGGAGCTGGACTCTCACTGCCAAAGTGGGTTTCAGCACGAAGGGTTTCTAACCATGGGAACCAAAGTGAAATCTCATCACCACACTGTGATGAAGATCTACAGCAGAAAGTAATATAGAAGGAAACCTGTAGACGTCTATGGAGTGCCAGCAATTGCTTATTTTAAAAACTCAAGCATAAGTTTTGTTTTTCATGCAGTTTTGTGTCTGTAGATGTTATGAAATGCAGACTAGAACAAAAACTTGTCTTTTCCTCAGTAGGTCATCTTTCTGAACTCCAAGATCTACCCCGAATACTGAGAACAGGAAATGACAGAAGGAAGGAAAAAAGCAGTCAGTGAATAATGAAGACTTTTGGGTCATGAATGCACACTCACTGCACAGAAGTCATGTCACATCCCTGGAAAACTGAGTGCTAAGGTCAGTAATTCTGCTAAAAACCCTGCCTTCTGCTGGGTCTAGTTTTGTCTACAATGCAAGACCGTGGGAGCCACCTCCCAGATATGTTCTGTGCTAAATACCACACCCATTACACCTGATACACATTGCAGAATGAGAACACATAATTAACGAAAAACCCTTGAAAATCCTTCTGCTGACATCTCTAACCTAGTGCCTAGTACACTGTAGGTGCTTATCTTCCACATTTTGTGATGCTTAGTCAAACCAACACCCCAGAACATGGGTAACAGATTCATGCACCTTTCAAAAATAAGTGTTTACAACGTAAACAATATGAGCATTAAAATAGCAGTCTGAGAAGGAACATAGCCTAAAACTGGAAGGCTTTTTCCTTAATTTTGTATTGTTTGTGCTCCATCTGTCAACAAATGACTTTCAACATTTAAAAAACGTATAGCTAGGAAAAATTTTTTTAAAAAGCTCCGTCTTTGCCACCAACTACTAACTTTACTTCTGACAAGTATGTATTTGTTCTTAGTTAAAGGAAAAACACAGTTAACAGAGACATCTTCCAGTCAGGATGCTAAGGGGTATAAGGTATCAGGTTGAAACAAACAAACAAACAAAACATCCAGTCTCCAGATGAGAAACGGAAAGAGCAGCAGAATCAGGTGGAGCTCATCTAAGCTATAAGAAGCATGCAAAGTCTAAATCACACAAACAAATCAACTTTGACAGAGGATTGGTCACTTATCCTAGAAAAGAGGATATGATAAAAGGGAACTTAAACCAGGCACCTACGTTTCTTTATGAATGGCTAAAAAGCCTAGAAGATAAAGCTTTAGCATTACATAGACACTGTAAACACACTTGCGACCAGCAAATTTTTCCCTTTCCTGATCCTGAGAGCGGGTGAAAATTTAAAAATCTGAAGCTGGCTGTCACAAACTTCTGTTGTTAAGCACAAGTGAAATGATCTTTCCTAAATGGTCACCTTTTTCATAACACAGCTGAAAGCTGCAGACAGATCCAGTATTTGCCTGACACCACTCTGACTAGCATTCTATACTTGGTATTCTTATTCAAAGTATAGAAAGTTCTTGTTCAGGTTTGTACACAGTGTTGAACTTACCTAAAAACAGAATTTACTATGGGTTCAATTTTGCATAATCTGCTTGGTTTGACTGCATTACTGAAAAAAATGCAAAAACTGCAAAATTTGTAGGAATCTATTTTGTGTCACTATTTCTGAAAAGAAAGGCGTCATACTTGATGGATATGTTGACGTGTATTGTGGTTTTCTTCACACATCCCGTCAAAATATTTAAAACTAGAGATTTTTTCATCTTGGACACTGTAGTATTGCTCCACTTTTTTCACTTCTCAGGACATTTGTATCTGTGGTGCATCTGATCATAATACCTGTTAGTTTCAGTTGCAATCTTTTTTTTTTTTTGAGTTGGAGTCTCACTCTGTCGCCCAGATTGGAGTGCAGTGGCCGCTCCCGGCCACTGCAGCCTCGACCTGCTGGGCTCCGGCGATCCTTCCGCCTCAGCCTTCCAAGTAGCCAGAACTACAGGCGCACGCTACCACACCTGGCTAATTTTTTGATTTATTGTAGAGATGAGGTTGCGCCAAGTTGCCCACACGGGTCTCGAACCCACGGGCTCAGGCAATTCACTCACTTTAGCCTCCCAAGGTGCGGGATTACAGGCTGAGCCACCGAGCCCAGCTTGCAATCATTTCTATAAAATCATCTCCAACAAACAGTCTGACAACTTACTTCACTTATACTTTTGAGGATGATTTGGAAATACTTTGATACCTTGATTACCAATAAACACTTCTAAGTGTCTTTTTGGACCATATTTTGCCCATTCAATGTCTGATTCGTTCTCACCAGTACTGGATTCACTGTCATAGATTATCTGTTATATTTCTTCATTTATATTGCATCATTATATCACTGTCTGTCTCACTATCACTAATAAGTTCACTGGATTGACCTTCGCCCTCGGAAATCTCATCAGCATATATTTCTTCATTTTCCATAATTATGGTAAGTAAGAAAGCCCTGAAATATCAAAATACAAGTATACAACACTAATCGCAATAAAATAATGACCAACTTGCAATTTTTACCAACTATGTAAATCAGTAACAACACTGTGCAGTTGGTATCAGATAATTATCTCAAGTTTCTCTCTTCTTGCCTGACTATTCAATTCCAAGCAAAATACCACAACACACACATACATATGACAAAGTCACAGCATTCAGAAACAGAACTGGCAAAGACATAAATTCATGTCAGCAGCAACCAGGAACAGAATTTGCAATGACATAAATTCACGCCAGTGGTCGCGAATGAGTTAATAAGCGCTTTACTAAAACGACACCACCATACTGCATTGAATCATGTGGATGGAGTGCCAGCAAAGTTTAGGGCGACTCCAAACACCACCAAATGGGCAAATTCTAGGTTTTAGTTCAAGGTCAGTGGTAAATTATAGGATTCAACATTTAGTGCCCAAGTTTTAAAATACATTAGATTGTTGCTTTAATCATGTAGGATCATGATAAAGATAGGTCTGCCACTTCTCTGCTCTGTGACTTTCGGCAGGTCACAACTTCCCAGAGCCTGTTTCCTCATTCCTCAGGTATCAAATCCAGTGGGACTATATGATCTCTAAGTTCCTTCCAGCTCTAAAAATTCTATGTGCTTATTATAATTTGTTTTAGCAGTATAACTGTGGCATTATTATTTTTAAGGAAACTGATACATTAGGTCAACTCTTGTTTAAAAAGTTCATCTTTCTAAATATTTTTAGCTATCTAAAAAACAGAACAACAGAGGAATCTTGTTGGTACACAAATTCCAAGCCCTAGAATCAGTGTTATATGCTTCTTAAATGGGATCCCTCGTTGATGGCAAGAATCACAGAATCACTGAATTTTTGAGCTGGAAGGAAATTCAATTTTTGTTATTGCCTGATGGGTTTTTGAGTTCCAGACCTACCTTCTTTGATCCTCTGCTCTACTTGGCTCTCTGGTAACACAGACCTGGCTAGGCAGAACTGGCATTGATGCTAGGTCAGTGTAGAGTGAATAGTTCAAAGTATGGGGAAATGAAAATAGCAGAGAAATGGCTATAGGAGAGAAGGGAGCAGTGGAAAATTTTAGTCAAGGAAGTAGCTGATGCAGTTTTATTTAAAAATTGTTACTACTTATAAAATTGTATGTACTTTGTTTTAATTCTATGAATTTATTAATGTAAGCTAAACACATTTTCTTTTAGTGTATACCACATGTCAATGAAGGAAGATATTCCTCCTTCAACCTGTCACATGACCATTTTTCTGTTTCATTATCTCCACTCAACGTCAACTGAAAATAACACAGAAGCCAAAGTAAGCTAGCAAGGTAAGTGTACAGAGTAGGAGTAAGGCAAAGAACTGTGCAAACAGAAACTGACTAAGAGTAATGAATCTAAAGTAGGCTCTGATGTACCTAAAACATTTTGGTATCAAAGAGAGAAGGAAAACAATCAGAACTTTGAAATCACACGTGTAAGTTTCTTAAGAAACTTTGATTTACTGATTTCCCCAAATTAATTTTAATTGGCATCAAAATTTAGAATTAATTTTTATGTTAAATGTCAGTTTATCAGAATTACTAAAATAAACTGCTAATTTAAAAGCAATTCGCAATGAGTAAATAGTTTGGAATAAGATTAATAAAAATTATTAGCAACAAGGTTCTCCACTCATCACAAGTCTGCAATTTGAGTCCAAAGTCAGATTAACCTCAGTGTGGCCCCATTGCTGTGCAGGGTAATAGTTGATAATGCCACTTTCCATGAAATTAGTATACTTTTTTGCCTACACAAATCCATATAATTAGATTTATACAAAAGAGAGGTTGAATGTAAAATAAACAGTTGTCCTCAATGAGAAGGCAAAACATAAACTTCTAGTTCTTGACACTATTAATGGACTTAAAGCAGGTGGGGATATACTCCACACCAAGTGAAAAGAAAGGAAGGAGAAAAAAACACAGAGAAGTAGAAAAGAGACATGACAAAAAGGTTAAAAGGATTCTCAGTTAACAGATCAGACACTTAATCATCTCTGTTCCAGGTGATATCTTAACAAGGACTAAGTCACTCTATAACAAGTAATTAAAGACTTACCTGTACAACATGCCAATGCCGATGTCCAAGTAAAGTGCTTAACCCCTGAGACTCTAAACCTCCGTCTGCAAATGGGCTTTTTGCTCGACTGGGTTTATGCTCAGAGTGTGCTGAAGAACTCCTGGGGTTCTGGGTTTGTGAAGTTTCTCCACAGTTCAAGTACAAACGGTCCTCCCCCTGAAGCAACACCTGCTCTTGGTTACTCTAGACGAGGGAAAGAAGGAGAAGTGGAGAGGAGGGAAGCAAACCAAAGTACCTCAGTGTCAGGCAGAGGAAAAGTAACACGCTGATTCAGTGTTATTGTGGAAACGTACCATCTATCTCCTAACAGAGGACAAGGGTTATGTAATAGCCTCATGCATTGTTATAACTAGTAAGAACAGCGCTCTTAGCGATTATGAACTTTCAACTAGAAAGCCAGTGTCCTCCCTGGTGAGCACACTCTATCAACTATTAAAATCAGACTGTGGCACCCTAGCCCCTTTCACCTTTCCATTTTAGTCCAGATGCTGCTTTTATATATAACTCAAGGGTGCTTTTAAATTAATATTGGAGATGGGGAAGGGGAAGAAGAAATATTTGTTTTTTAATTTTTATGTTAAATGTCAGCCTATCAGAATTACTGCTCATTTAAAGCAATTCTTAGTCTTCAACTGGAGTAACGGAATTGAGATCCAGGCTATTTTCATACTCTCTTGATGTGTTACAAATTTTAATTAGAAATTTGTTGCACCAAATATCCATTAAAAAGCATTATTAATAGTAAGTATGAAGATATGAACTCCTAACATGTAATATATACTATTATTATATATTAGCAATATGTAATAATATTCATATGTAATATTTCAGATGGATATACATGAGGTTATAATTTAGAGCAGTGTTTCCTACAGCAAGGTGCGAAACATATTTTCTTCAAGGTATTCCTTAAAAATTCATAGTTATGTATGGGAAACACTGCTTTTTATACACCAACTCTTGGATTTTCATGATGCACCTTGGCATATTTAAGACTATGGAATCCTACAATAAAGAAATCTCTACAGCTCTGTTTTACTTCTTTTACTTCACACTTCCACGAACATATAACTTTTTCTTTATCCTGTGGAACTGTTACTAATATCTCATAATTAGTGCCTAGTAGAACACACTTTGGAAAATACTATTCAGATAAAAACTAAGTTATTCATATCTTTCAAGTAAATACATAAATGCTGCTTTCCCTCAAATTGCTTATGACCTCATTAGTTTAAAGAGAAGACCTCTAAAACAGAACCTGCTCAGAAATAAAATTTTGGTATAAATTTAATATGAATGAAAAAAGAAACACAAGAATCACAGAGAATACACAAAAGATAATGTGCCGATTTTAGAAGTACACTCAATACATATTTTTCATAAAGAAGGGCTTGAAATTCTAACATGAAAGACACTAAAAAACAACAAACCCACAACTTTAAATATACTTACCATACAAGGGTTTACAGTGAGTACGCTCTTGATAAACTGGAAGAGCAGAATGCTGGGTTGTTTAACAATGCTCCTGAGGTCAGAATCAATTTCGGTGTTTTGAGAACCAAATCCACTGATTACCCACAGGTGATAGCCTTCTGCACCCCAGCTCTTAGAGGGAGGAGGAAGAAAAAAAGCCAAAGCAATAACAGGTTTTTGTTATCCTTTTCTAGAAAGCGCCAAATATTTAAATTCTGAAATAACTAATGACAGTATTATTAATGACTTCAGAAAACTGGAGAAGCCATGACAAACAGTGTAGACAAGAATCACACCTTCAATTATCGCTTAGCTATCTCCAGAGGAAACCACAATCACTGCTCTCTACCTACAGCAGTGAGAACACTGCCTACCAGTCTTAGTGTCAATTTCAGAATTTCGAGCTTAAGAAACGCCTGCTGTGTTCTGTAATGTCTCCGTAAATTTAATTTAGCTGCCTCTCAAATATAATGTGCCGATTTTAGAAGTAAAAGGAATTTTTAAGAAATTAGAAGGAACCTATAGAAATTCCTTACAGAGACTCAGATTACCTAGTAGAAAAAAGCTTGGCAAAGAAGTACCTACATCAGATGCAGTTCTGTATAGAGCAAACAACACTGGATCGGAAGCTGTGAGACTAGAGTTTTCATTACAGCTTGGCTTTTTGTTATATTACCTTGGCCAAGCTGTCTGGTTTCTCAGGGTATTAGTTTCTTTCTTTGTAAAACGAGAAGGTCCAAATAAATTCCTCCAGGCCCATTATATATATAGTTTTAATATTCTATAACTGGATTCCATGATAGCATTTTTAAGATTAGTGATTTTCTTTTTTTTTTGAGTTGGAGTCTCACTCTGTCACCCAGACTGGAGTGCAGTGGCCGCTCCCGGCCACTGCATCCTCAACCTGCTGGGCTCCGGCGATCCTTCCACCTCAGCCTTCCGAGTAGCCGTAATTACAGGCGCATGTTACCACGCCCGGCTAATTTTTTGATTTATTGTAGAGATGAGGTCTTGCCTGCCCAGGCGGGTCTCAAACCCGCGGGCTCAGGCAATCCACTCACCTCAGCCTCCCAAAGGCGCGGGATTACAGGCTGAGCCAACTGAGCCTAGCAAAATTAGTGATTTTTAAGCCAAGAAAATGGTAATGGGGAATGAACTGTTGCAAAACTTCAAAAGCTTAATACAAATTTTATGTTTTTCAATGGTCAGTTTCACAGGCTTAAATAAAATGTTTAAATCCTTACTCTGTGGCTGAAATATCAACTTAGTGAGGCTGGTAACACAAGTTATTGCATGCCACTCAGAAGCACTGATTATCATTTATAGAAATGTTATTTGGTTGAAAATTTCTTTTAAACTATGAAAGTGGGGAGAGACATCAAGAGGGGTCCTTGGAGGTAAAAGGTTGGGAATCACTATTTAAGGTAATGTTATTCTTGAAGAAACCCCAGATTAAAAAATGCCATCTGTGGAGCATAACAACAGGGAAGCAATAAGCCTCATACTCACTAATTTCACAAGGAAGGTAACACAGAGATGCTATAACAAATGTTTTTCTGTAAATATAGGGGTTATATCTCACTGCTTTCTATAGAAACTTTTTTTTTTTTTTTTTTTAGTTTTAAGGATGTGGGGTACAATTCAGGATTAGATATACAAATGATCATTGTACAGGTAAAGTTTGGGTCTCACTTTGGTCCCCATTTCGCCTAGTTTGAGATCAGGTACCCTTATAGATGTGAAACTCTTAAAAATAGATAAAAAATAAAAACATCAGTTGAGCAACCCTAATCCAAAATTATGAAAACTATTAATATCTGAAACTTTAGAAATACTGACATACTATGGTAAAATATTCCACACTTGATCTCATGTGACAGGCTGAAGTCAAAATCTTGTTTGATGCATAAAATTATTTTAAAATATTGTATCAAATTACCTTCAGACTATGTGTATAAGGTGTATATGAATACTGTGTTTATACTTGGGTCCCATCCCCAAGCTCACTGTGTATATGCAGATATTAAAAAATCCAAAAAAGTTCTGCAATCTGAAACAATTCTAGTCCTAAGGATTTCTAATAAGAGATACTCATCCTGTATTATTACAACAGACATACATCTATGGAAAGTTTTTAAAAAATGCTCAAGTAATGCATAAGTACATGTCCTCCAGGAGATATGACTAACAAGCTTATTAGATGCATTGCAACAAAACTCAAATACAGAAAATCAGGCAGCCTCCCAATTTAAAAAACAAAAACAAAGTTTTCATCAAAGCATGGGCTGATAAGGAAGACTTGCTGAGACAGAAAGAGCATCGTGACTTTACCAGGCCAACATGAGTGAAAAAAGGAAGAAAAATAAAAGTTTCTTTATATTACCAATCTTCTACAGAAAAAGCTTACCATAGAGTTGATCTTAAGGGGATCTTTTTTGGTGCCATCAGATCTATAACTGAAACAATAGAAACTAAATTTAGTAACTGAACCTTCCAGTTACATATAATGCACTTAATATTTAGCTTTAGATTTTTCAAAATCAAACAGATTTTGCTCCTTCAGAACAGAAATACTGTACATAAAAATGCATGAAATACAAAACTGCAGGCTAATACACTTAGGCATTTCTCTCAATCACTTTAGGCATATCTCTCAGCCACATTTTTCCCAGGTCCAAGTGACTTATTGCCAGAGTCATGCAGTTTTCAAAGGTGTGCTTATTTCATGAGGAGTGACGTTCAGGGTAGTATATGAAATGGACAGAGATATAAACCCTCTCCTATCAACCATGAGGCTAACCAACCTTAACTCAACGAGATGATGTAACTTTCTATTTCTTTTTTTTTTTTGAGTTGGAGTCTCACTCTGTCGCCCAGACTGGAAGTGGCCGCTCCCAGCCACTGCAGCCTCGACCTGCTGGGCTCCGGCGATCCTTCCGCCTCAGCCTTCTGAGTAGCCGGAATTACAGGCATGTGCTACCACACCAGGCTGATTTTTTGATTTATTGTAGAGATGAGGTCTTGCATTCCAGGAGGGTCTCGAACCCGCGGGCTCAGGCAATCCACTCACCTCAGCCTCCCAAAGGTGCGGGATTACAGGCTGAGCCACCGAGCCTGGCTAACTTTCTATTTCTTACTAGCCATTTATGTGCATGGCTTACTACTCTTAATTACATAATAAGTTACTTGAAGGCAGAACCATGTGTGATTCAGTCCTGAGTCAGGTGCTTTCATATACACAACAGGGGTTCAAGAAATGAATGTATTTTAATTTAATGAACTGTAAGCTTTAAAAAATGGATGTTTAAAGATCAATACAAGCCAGGCTCGGTGGCTCAGCCTGTAATCCCGCACCTTTGGGAGGTTGAGGTGAGTG